AAGCAGCTCTCTGGCTTTTGCTGAAATTGGGTAGGCACTGCCTCTGGCACAGGCCATAATAGTTCCATAGACCCCTCTCTCTCAGCCCTGTGATTGTAACTAGTTATTTTGATAATTTTCTTGGGCCATTGTTTGTTTATATTTCACTCCCTCCCTCACAGTTTTTCTTTTTTAAGAATGGCCTGATTATGGCTACCCCACTTTTCCAGCCCAGCCACATTGTTGGCAATTTAATTTATTTACTTTTTTTTTTTAAGAAAGGAAAAAGAAAAAAAAATTTACAAAACTTAAAACTTTTCTTTTGCTGTTCCTATTGTGGGGATTTTTGGATAGGGTGGGACAGGGATGGGGTCTGTCTTATATTTTTCCTTTTCAGCACAACCTTTGGCTTTAATATAGGAAAGGCTAAGGGAGTCCTTGGCTGAACTGAAGTCTGCCCCAGTCCTCCATAACCCATCTGAGATGAGGAGCTTCCTCTATTCCAGTGATGGATGTGACAGTCCAGCATCAATGACTGTGCCCTCTGGAGAACTTTGCTCCCAGCCCATCTAGGGTCACTGTAAAACTCTGGACTTCGAATATTAATTTTGAAGAAATCCTGCCCGCCACTCCCCCCAACACCCGGTTTCCTTGGAGATATATATATAGCTGGGTTCTAAGCTTCATCAGGCAAGATGGGATAGAAATTATGTCTCTGAGTACAGGCTGTGCTGTCTCACCCATACCCCCTTAGGACCTCAGCTGCATTTCGGGATGCCCAGGGCATTCCTTAATCCCTGGGGTGACTAGCAGAGTAAGAGAAGGGGAAGAATAGTGGGTTTGATTATCTTGATATGCAGGTGGAAGTGGGGCTGGAGAGAGATGGCCATAAAGCTTCTCTTTTTGGAGATTTTTTCCAGGCCAGCTTGCGGTAGGTCTGGGTAGCTGGGTCATGGCTCCACTGGAACTGTGGGGAGGAGGGAGTACACTTTGAAGAGGGTGAGGAACAGTCATATGTTCCAGCTCCAGGACATTGTGCTCAGGAATTTGAAAACGCTGCTATACTTAGTCTGGTTACTACATTTCTTCCACTCCCCTCTGCCCCTGCCTGCCTTACCCAGGCCCATACCCTCCTGTTGTCACCCTAAGATGGAGCCAGGAAGCTCAGTTAAGGCTTCCCTACCCTTTGCACTAGTGTCTCTGCAGGTTGCTAGTTGTGTTATATATGTGCTGTTCCATGGTGTTGACTGCACTAATAATAAATCTTTTACTCAACTCTCTCAATTCTTAATTCACATCACTCCCCTCATGAAGGTTCTCCTCTGCTTTGTTCTTTCTCTCACCTTAATTCCCCTGACTTCTTCCTTGCTTTGTAACCTACTTTTGTCTTAGAACTAACCTCTGTTCTAGGAGGAGTTCTATCTGGGAGGAGTGTGCACCTCATATCTTCTTTGCCTTATGTACCCTCCTACATCCTTCCCTCCTGACTCCTGTTCTGCACAGCTGAAGCACTCTCACCAGTCATCTGCTGAATTGTGCTCTTTTCAGGCTTTACCTTTGCTCCAAATCCATGTCTTCCCTGTGTGTTCTGGGATTTTGGGACATTTTCTATAGACGATATGCAAGTACCTTTCCCCCTTGTCCCACAAACACCTTTGCTTTGGAATCTGGGATTCCATTGAAGGCAGGGAAGCCTCCACCCCCAGTGTCTCCTAACCAAGAAAGTACACAGGAGGAAAGGAACCTGGAATGACTGCACCTGCTGTGGTTGTCAAATCTTGATAAACCCTTTTGTAGGCATTTGCTGCCACCTTCTCCCTATCATGAGAAAAAAAATCTTTTACCACAGTGTACCATATTATAAATTTGTTGAGCATTTATTGTGCACCTAACACAAATCTAATAGCACTCTAGATACTTTAGTGGCGCCAAAAAAAAAGCATAAGGACATTCCTGTGCCCACTGAATTTACTACACTTTCATACATACGAGGTCTGATTAGAAGATACTGATGAACGTATCACAGTATAGAGCACAAGTGGCAATATATGTACTCTAATGATACCGGTAGTGCTTTTTTTTTTTTTAAGCTTCAAAATTACTTTTAGAACCTGCTGCTCATTCTTTTGAATGTCATGAATGATGCCAAATCTTCCTTTTAAGGTAGATTTGGTTTTTTGGAAACAGTATTCATTGAATATCTATTCGGCAAGAACTCATTAGGGTGGGGCTGGGGGGTGGTGGTTCATGTAGCAAAATGGCACCTACCTTCAAAGAACTTACTCCCTAATTGAGATGAGTGTATAAGACATCATAAATGTGGGAAGTGGATCTTACCACAAGCAATATGTGAGCAGAGGGAAGATAAAGCCACTGATTCTGATAGGTTCCAGGAAAGACTTCTCCAAGAGGTGTATTTGTTTTAGATCAGAGGTTGGCAAACTACAGGTTGCATGCTGCTGCCTGATTTTGTGGGAAAAGTTTTACTGGAACACAGACATGCCCATTTGTGTTATGTATATTGTCTATGGCTGCTTTTAGATTACAGCAGTAGAGCTGAGTAGTTGCCATAGAACTACAGACCACAAAGCCTAAAATGTGCTATTTGGTCCTTTACACAAAATGTGCCAACCTGTTCTAGACTTTTAAGGTCAGGACAATGGGCAGGGAAGTAGAGAGGGTTTGTTGTTTTTTTACTTTAGTATATACGTTTGAAAATTCAGAACATTTTTCTACGTTGCCAAAATAACAAATGCTTAAAGTTAACAACGTATCCTTAATCTAATACAAATCTATGTTCACCCTTCCCCAGTTGGTCTAAGAAAAGTACTTTTAGAGCTGATTTTTGTCCAACCCTGGATCCAATCCAGGAACCATGCCATTACAAAAGGCTATGTGTTTTAACTCTCTTAGTCTGGATTCCTGGAACAACCTTCTTCTGGTAACACTTATTTGTTGAAGAGAATTGGGCCAGTTGTTTAGAGAGTGGGTCTCGGATTTGACTGATTGCTTTTTCACAGCGTCCTTTAACTTATTCCTCTAACCCCTGTTTTTCCTAAACAGGATTAGATCTAGAGTCAGAGAGATTATTATTATTATTATTTTTTGGCCACACTGCGTGGCTTGTGGGATCTTAGTTCCCGGACCAGGGATTGAATCTGGGCCCTCAGCAGTGAAAGCGCAGAGTCCGAAACACTGGACCACCGGGGAATCCCCTAGAGTCAGAGAGATTCAAATTAACCAGTTCTGGGGATAAAAGACATCACAGGAGAGATGTTCTTTATGTTGTGTAACATCAGGACATAGGCCCAGTTGTCCCACCATTAGCCTAATCTCTTCACTGTATGCTTGTATTTGTTGAGAGAGATTTTTGAAACTGGCTAGGTGACAAATATGTGCCCTGAGCAAATGGGCAGCTGGCAGTGCAGCTCTGATTGGTCACTGCTATACAAGAACAGGGGCCCAACATTGCCCCTATTATTTTTTCAAGAACTTTTGGACATCCTAATGTTTATGCTAAATGTCACAACTTTTAAATGTTGGCTCAATATTTTTTTTTTTAATGTGGGCCAAAAAAAGAATAAAACAAAACAAAAACATAGGATCCACCAGAGTTTGTTTTTTGTTTTTTTTAGTTACTCATCAGTTTATTCAACCCATACTTATGGAGCTCCAGGCGCTGTCCTGTGTGCTGGAGATACATAGAGCTGTGACAAAACAACCAAAGCCCCTGCCCTTCTGGCTTGTAAAGCTCTGGTTGAGGAGACAGACAAGAAACAAGATAATAAGAAAAACATGTTATGTTTGGTAGCATGAGTCCTAGGAGAAAAATAAATTGGGAAAAGGGGAGATGTAATTACAAACTGTAATTAATGTAATTACAAACTGGGGTAAGGGTCAGGAGAGACAAAGCAGGGTTTCTGCCCTAGATCTGGTGGTCAGGGAAGATCCATTTCTAGAGCAGAGGTCATTAATTCCATACTTCATCAGAATCACCTGGGAGTGGGGCTTAGTGGGCCCGGTACTCAGAGACTGGCATTTTTCACATGATGTTTCTGGTCCCTGTGGGCCATATTTGGAGATGTTTTGGTCTGGAGATGTGAAGGCAAGATAGTGGAGTGGCTAGGAGCCCAGACTTCAAGGACAACAGCTCTGCGATGTGTAACCTTGGGTAAGGTACTGATCTCTCTGGGAGTCGACC